ACTATTTAGACAGCCTATTACCACTCACTCACAATAGCGTCCAACGTAATTTCTGAGGATTGGGACATACCCATTAGTGTTCATATGTACGGTATATAACAATATCATGTATTAAATATATTTAATTATACACAAATAACATCACACACACACACACACACACACAATATATGTTTATATATATATATATATATATATATATATATATTTTTTTTTTAAGTCTCAGGAAAGACCACGATGGCATAATCATTGACCTGCCAAAGATCTTCATCCATAAACGTTTCTAACGGCAGTCGCAATTCGTAAGTACTGAAATCTTCAATCAATATACAGTCAATCCTCTATAAAAGGACGACAAAAATACTTCAATTATATTATTTATTAAAAATTGCATTAAGAAAAAATATTAAAATATCATCATATAATACTTGTGCTTGTCCTTCCCTTCGTTAGTCCGCACGACCGCTACTCTCTAGCAGTACTTCATAAATTGTTGTAAACCACTGCTAGTTGTGGACTACTTAGACAGCACATTACCACTCACTTACAATAGCGTCCAACGTATTTATGAGCTACGGTATATAAGTTTCATATTAATGAGATTTGGGCGGCTAATAAAATTATTTTGCAATAATAAAATATTCTCGATAAATCTTGTGTTATTTGACAACTAGGCATTTATGCAGATGACACAACCATTTATTCCTGTTTTAGTAGTAAATCCGATGGAACCGACAAAGTAAACCTGGCAAATATCTTTGAAAAGAATCCCCCAATCAGATTTATTAAACAAGTTAGGGCCAAGAATGTCTTGTAAATTTTAACGGCTCCATAACAAAAATGCTTTCATCTAATCACGATAGAGAAACATGTCCACCTGTCATCAATACGCCTGATGCTGAGGTCTTCGCTATAGTACCTGGACTTATTTAATTTATGCGCTGTACTAGACAGGTGAAGAGATATCAATTTACGGTTGAGCTGATTAGATGTAACCGTAACACTATGCTAACAGTTTCTTTACTCGCACTTCTTACTTGCGGAACTCCCTTCCAGCTCCATGATTCCTAGCCAACTTTTATCTGCAAAAATCTAAATATCATGTCAATTGCTATTTATTTGACTCCGGAATACACTTCTATTGTTCTTGTTCCTTAGCAATGTTTCTGTTTTTAACTCTCCCACAACCCGTAGCTCTCCAGTTCGGCTTGGGATGAAATCGATTAAAAAACAAAACAAAAAAAAAAAAAGGAAAAAAAAAAAAAAAAAATTTTCATTTATATAATACATGAAAACATTCTTTCTCACATAACGGTTAGTAGTTACAAAATACTAGTGTCAAAACTTTCATTCCCTCTAATGAATACATATATAACGGATAGAATTTATTAAACAAATACGTCAACACTTTCATTCCCTCTAATGATTAAATATATAACGGATAGGAGTTATTAAACAAATACGTCAAAACTTTCATTCCCTCTAATGATTACATATATAACGGATAGGATTTATTAAACAAATACGTCAACACATTCATTCCCTCTAATGATAACATATATAACGGATAGGATTTATTAAACAAATACGTCAACACTTTCATTCCCTCTAATGATTACATATATAACGGATAGGATTTATTAAACAAATACGTCAACACTTTCATTCCTTCTAATGATTACATATATAACGGATAGGATTTATTAAACAAATACGTCAACACTTTCATTCCCTCTAATGATTACATATATAACGGATAGGATTTATTAAACAAATACGTCAATACTTTCATTCCCTAATGATTACATATATAACGGATAGGATTTATTAAACAAATACGTCAACACATTCATTCCCTCTAATGATAACATATATAACGGATAGGATTTATTAAACAAATATATCAACACATTCATTCCCTCTAATGATAAATCATATAACGGATAGGATTTATTAAACAAATACGTCAACAAATTCATTCCCTTCTAATGATTACATATATAACGGATAGGATTTATTAAACAAATACGTCAACATTTCATTCCTTCTAATGATTACATATATAACGGATAACTTTATTAAACAAATACGTCAACACTTTCATTCCCTCTAATGATTACATATATAACGGATAGGATTTATTAAACAAATACGTCAACACATTCATTTATCTAATGATTACATATATAACGGATAGAATTTATTAAACAAATACGTCAACACTTTCATTCCCTCAATGATTAAATATATAAAGGATAGGATTTATTAAACAAATACGTCAATACTTTTAATTCCTAACAATGATTACATATATAACGGATAGAATTTATTAAACAAATACGTCAACACTTTCATTCCCTCTAATGATTACATATATAACGGATAGGATTTATTAAACAAATACGTCAAAATTTTCATTCCCTCTAATGATTACATATATAACGGATAGGATTTATTAAATAAATACGTCAATACTTTCATTCCCTCTAACGATTACATATATAAAGGATAGGATTTATTAAACAAATACATCAACACTTTCATTCCCTCTAATGATTACATATATAACGGACAAGTTTTATTACATAGCTTTATAAATGTTTCTATTAACTTTGATAATTTCTAAATTAGTTTTTTGTGATACAGAATTTAATAATAGCTAGGAAAAGGCAAAATTTATAAGGCATTTGTTTTTTTAAAAGCTAAATGAAAAACAATCTGTTTCGACCCAGGACTTATCAAGTTTATTTTTCTGGGAATAAAAAATTATAAATGCGTGTAAATTAAGTTAACAAATGAAATGGAATGGAAAAATGAATTTCAAGAAAACTAGAGTCAATAACATTCAGACCCAGTTCATTCCTGTGTATACAAAGGGAAGGCCCACGGGATCTGATATAAAAAGGAACTCTAGAACCTTGAATATAATTAGGAGTTGGACCTAGATAAAATCGGAAAATGAATTGGCATACTAAAAGTAACCACACATTTCTTGCTATTTATTATATGTTCAGCAATAGCAGAGAATTGATAATTTCGTATATAATGGAGATTTTATTTAACAAATACACCCAAAATTGTCATTGATTCTGGTGATTACTTATATAACTGTTAGTGTTTATTAAAAGAAATAAAAAATCAATTCCATTTATAATTTCTGACTTTGCTTAATGATTTCAATATACGTCAAAATATTAATTCAATCTTAACGATTACATTTAAAATGGCTGCAATTTATCAAAGAAATCCGTCAAGAAATGTCATTCCCTTTTAACAGTTCGGATTGATTTTCAAAATACGTTCTAACATCATTCATTCCTGTGGCTCTATATTTAGTGGCTGCAGAACATAACAGAGACACGGAAATTAAATAGATGTCAAAATCTCCACAGAACTTTCATCTTGAAAAGTGATTTTGCTCATATCTTTTTTACGGATGTATTAGTTTTGGCACAAGGATAAAAATTAATTAAATACTGAACTACCACAATTTTTTTAATGCTTCGTCTCTTTGCTGTTTTAGAGATAATGGCGCTCATGATTTCCAGTCCTTTGTAGATCTTAATAAAGTTTGTCTTTTTCTTAACTTTCTGAAACGTTGTTCCACCAACCCATCTACGCACGCTAAAATATTCTTATTCTATGTGACGTGCCAATGGCAGGATTGAGGCGATCATGGCTCTCCAAAAACTTTCTGTACTTTCTAGCTCTTAAAATATTCTCTCTTTTTATTATCTCCCTTAAACCTTGTTCCAACATCCATCGGCGCATTCTCATTTTTTTTATTTTATCCGTGTTCCTTCAGGATGTTGGCGATCATGGCTCTTCACAATTTCCTGTCCTTTGAGCTCATAATAAATTCTAAAAACTTTTTATTATTTCTCTTAAATCTTCTTCCGTCATACAAAAGCTAGCTTCTTCTTCTTCTTTTTCTTCTTCTTCTTCTTCTTCTTCTTCTTCTTCTTCTTCTTCTTCTTCGTCTTCTTCTTCTTCTTCTTCTTCTTCTTCTTCTTCTTCTTCTTCTTATTATTATTATTATTATTATTCTGTTTCGTGTCCCTTCAGGACTTTGGTGACCATGGCTCTCCACAATATCCTGTCTTTTTTATCTTCTTAAGAAATTTTATTGTTTACTTTTTATGGTATCTTACCCATAATAATAATAATAATAATAATAATAATAATAATAATAATAATAATAATAATAATGGATTATTCCATACTTAATAAATACTGCGCCTCAGGAATAGGCAAATTCAGGTGAGTCAGTCAGTAGTTCATTCGAGTCAAGAGTCGATTCAGAGGCAGTCCGAAACAGAGTCGCGTTCAGACAATTACTGCAAGACATTGGAATAGTGATACTGGTCGAGACTACATTGTTCTCTCTACTAAACCTGATTGTTCATACTAACACTTTCTACTTCTCTGTATATATTCCTGTTTGTAATATATCTGTGTTATTCCATACCTGTGTTTGAGTTCTTCTTTATTGGTTCTACCTTGGACTATCACCGTGGTACAACGAACCGGACCATAACATTTACTTATCTCTCGTAAACATTGTTCCGCCATCCATTTACTCAAGCGTCCTGAGTAAGACGATAAACTACATCCGGCGCCCTGGGTAAGACGATAAACTACGTCCAACAGCAAGGCATCTGATCAGGAGGTTTTGAGGAGCGTAGAACCACATCTTTACTACTGGTATTCCCAGATTCGTCGTGACCCAGGGTGGTAGTACCTGTTAGGGTCCTAACTATGGACAAATAGTTAACCACCTAAATGGGGCTAACTACAGTACGAAAGTGTGAAAATAGGTTTTAAGACCAGCAATAATTTTTTTGAAGAAAAATTATTACCAGCAATACATTTATGAAAAAAAATATTAGCAGCAATACATTTTTGAAAAAATATTAGCAACAATAAAATCTTGTCAGCATTAAATAACCCACTGCGATTGATATGCCGTAAAACAAAAAACAAACTAAACCAATATATACTGAGATAGATAGATAGATAGATAGATAGATAGATAGATAGATAGATAGATAGATAGATAGATAAAAAAGTATTACCAGCAATAAAAATCTTGTCGGCATCAAAAAACCCATTGAAGTTGATCTGCCGTAAAACAAACCAAATCAAACCAATAGATAGATAGATAGATAGATAGATAGATAGATAGATAGATAGATAGATAGATAAAAGAATATTAACAGAAATAAAAATCTTGTTGGCATTAAATAACCCATTGAGGTTGATATGCCGTAAATGCCAAACCAATATATACTGAGATAGATAGATAGATAGATATGAAAAGGCGATAGATAGATAGATAGATAGATAGATAGATAGATAAAAAAAAATTACCACCTATAAAAATCTTGTCGGCATCAAAAATAAAAAAAAAAAAACATTGAAGTTGATATGCCGTAAAATAAAACAAACTAAACCATTTATTCAAATTTCTTCTTCTGTGTACTGTGTCCCTTCAGAACGTTAGCAATCATGGCTCTCCACAATTTCCTGTCCTTTGTAGCACGTAATAATTTTTATCTCTCCTTTGCGCCATCTTTCCCGTCATCTATTTACTCAAGGTCATTGGGTAGGAACTAAAACGTTACGGGGATCTTGGTGGTTCTTTTATGATTGTACAAATAATAGCATTTCAGATTTTTTTTTTTTATATTTTTCTTTAACAGTAAGGAATCTATAGAACTAGTCTGAATAAATCCTGGACCAAAAAAATCAAGAACTTTCATACATGGATAGGAATCGAACCCATGTCTCCTCAATTCAATGCAATCCCAAGATTTCCACCTGTATTAACTCTCTCTGATAAAACTATTAGCAGAGCCATGTGCTTTATTTAACAACATAGAAAAGATTACACAAGGGACAGATATTTCTTATTCACTGCATTGATCAGCGCATACGAGGCGTGCATTTACCCTGTGACATGTTTCTAACAAAGACCAGGTGCAGTTGATGGCAGTTTAGAAATTAGATAAATCTAGATCAAGTTACTTGGTTAGAAGTATACAATGCTATTATTCCGGGGGTTAGGGCTTTGATTAGAAAAGGTTAAACGCGAAGCCTTTCGCTTCTTCTTCATCATTAAAAGGATCTGAAAACTTTCAAATGTGTTTCGACTTTGCATTCATTTAATAAAAATTATGTCATGTGGTACAGAACGTTCGTGGAGTCGGCGTATTTATCCCGAAACCCACGCTGTTACGGAATGTGACTTATAGTCAAGGTTTAACATGGGAAGGCCTTTCAAAAATCACTCAATATCACCCATTGGCACTTCCCTTCTCAGGGCGCCTCAGTCGAAAATCAATTTTTTTTCATTTTACACCAATCAAGGCGAGAATGCAAGTACGTAGGGTGGGGAGGGTAAAGGGAGTTTAAAGTGAGATAAAAACTGGATATATTAGGTTGGTGCAAAAATAATGACGTAATATTGACGTTTTTTTCCATTAAAAAAAAGTCAAAAACGACATTATTACGTCATTATTTTGCACCAACCTAATAGAAAGGATTATGAAGAGGATAAAACGATGAAAATTTTCAAGAAGATATAAAATAACGATTGCCGTTGTATTTTTTGAAGATTATCAAGGAAGCAGGTAAACAGAAGAGAGTTCTTTAAGTTGGGGAAGTGCGAGAAAAATTTAATGTTGGAGTAAAGTGGCGCTTTATTTAACTATTCCTACAGTAAAAAGGATGAGACCTTGATTTCCAATCTAGTTGCAGACTTAAATCCATGTAGTTATGGCATCAGGGGAAAATGCTCAGAGCAGTTGCAATGAAAATATTTGTAGGCAAGACAGAAAAAGCCATGTTATGTCGGTGAGAAAATGACTGAAGTTGAAATGCCAAGTCAGGATCGATTATATTTATAGATCCTTCTTTAGATTTGGTCAAGAACCTTGAAATTAAACAGCAGGAGAGTGTCTGGCCAGATATGGCATCAGCATTCAATGCATGTACGAATGGTAGATTTGTAAATTTATAAAGTTAGACTCTGACAAGAAAAGCTAACACAGGGACCCAAATTTTGCCTTGCAGATTTTCTTGCTATTATTATTATTATTATTATTATTATTATAAGAGATTATAATAAAAAACATTTTTGAAATCTCTACCCAAAAAAATCATGTTTCAATACTGTCATTGTACAATAAAACTGACTGTACAATCATATATATATATATATATATATATATATATATATATATATATATATAAAATACAGTGTATGTGTGTGTTTTGTGCGTCAGGGTGTCCAAAAACTCCTCCGATCCCACTGATCCGATTTTATGAATGATTCATAGCTCATGCAAAAAGCCCTAGAAAAGTTAGGCACAAAAAGCGATTTTCAAAATTGTCAGATTTAGAATTGACAGATTATTCGCGTTAAAAATATATTTTAATATATAATAATAGCCATGGTTCAAAGGGAGTAATTCTTATTTTCCTTCTGTATCCAAAATCTTAGCGTATTTTCCTTTTGTATCCCAAATTCCACCTAAATTTTAAGTTAGCTCAAAAATTAAGTTTGCTTAAAAAGCCGCCCTATCTGGTGGCATTTAATTAGATCCTGTGGAGGATTCTTGGTTTGGCCATCATCACAATAGGCAGGGAGGATAGATGCGATAAGCATTAGTAAACTACAAAAGAACTCAAAATTGATCGCTGCATTTAAGTATTGAATTAATGTTTAAGCTTATCTTTTAAAAGTTCAACGATAATTCTTCTGCTGCCACTTAATTTAAAGACGATATGATGTACGTAGATCCTTACTTTCCGTACAAACACATATTTTTATTTCATGGGTGTCAGAATAGGGGACAATTTGCAAGATAAAATAAATATAGTGTAAAGATAGAAAAGTTGACATTAGAATTAATTATATATTCAACATTTAAAGAGTTAGAGAAACATAATAGTTAATTAAGTAAAACCTGTATCATGGAATCTATCTGAATGAATGCAAAATTGAAGCTCAATTCTGATATTAAATAAGCCCAGCTCTTTCTTATAGTAATTTGGTATTTACTCGATCCCCAATGAAGTTTAACGTGAGGAGCCAAATCAGGTACACTCAGGCTAGAATTTAAAATTCCTCGAGCCTGCACAACCTTCATTTGCAATGACCTTGGAGCGAACACCAATCCCTCACTCTGGTGCAATGAGGGGGCGCGGAAACGGTCAAAAGTTCCTCTCAGTATAATTTTTTCCTCAGTTGCGACTCTTCTTCGACGGAGCCGCCCCTAAGTGCGCACTGCCCAAAGATAGAGACGCAACTGAAAAATGAATAAATAAACGTGTTAAAAAAATAATTTTTAGTAATTTGGTATTTACCCCACCGCCCACGAACTCGTTTTGTGACACATGGTCGGTTTAATGTGGGGAGCCCGAGCGCGTACACCCAGGCTAGGAACAAAATTTGCCCGAGCTCTCGCAATCGTCGGTTATGCTGGCCTCGATGCCAGCACTGATCCTTCTCACTAGTGCAATGCGAAGTTGTGGACACAGATGCTTCCCGAGCCAGCACCTCTCACTATAATTTTCCTCAGTTGCGACTCTGTCCTTCGACGGAGCCGCTCCTGAGCGCACTCTGCCCAAAGACAGAGACGCAACTGAGAGATGATAAATAGATGTGCTACTTTATAGTAATTTGTATTTACTTACCCTCACGAGGTCAAGTTGTGACACAAGTCCGGTTTAATGTGGGGAGCCCGAGCGCGTACAACCGGTCTAGTAACAAAAAATTGACCAAGCCATCGCAACTGAGTCAGATTGTGACACAAGTTCGGTTTTTAACGTGGGGACCCAAGTGTCTTCACTCGGGCCGCTGGTTTTAGCTGGTCATAGCTGGTCTTAGCTAGTCATAGCTGGTACAAGCCGGTCCAAGTTAGTCATAGCCATGATGATACCAGGGCAGGGACTGATCCCTGTCTCTGGTAAGTATCCATGTGTTACAAACCATTTGAGAGAGCGATTTGTATTTACTTGACACTGAGTCATGTTGTGACACAATATATACAAATTAATATTTTAAAATGTGTTCCTCGGATATTCTGGACTTTAGCTGGTAATAGCTTTTCCAAGATGGTCATATCAAACGATCCAAAGCTAGTCATAGATCTTAGCTTCTCATAGCTGGTCTTATTAATGTATTTACTTTGTCTTCCCACTTTTACGAGTTGTCACACAAGGTCAGTTTTTAAATCAGGCACCCATCATTCATTGACCAGGGGCTTAGGAACAAAAAAAAATCATTTTGCAATTCCCCACAACGGATCCCTCCCTCTGGTGTAATGAGAGGGCGCGACCTCAGGCAGCTGTTCCTCAGGGCTGAGCAACTCACGGTATAATTTGTTTTCGTGTCTGCATTTTGAGATGAGTTCTGGTCTTTTATTGAGTAGTTTCTTGGGGTCTAGCTAGAATTACATTCCCAGACCAAAACGAACTATGTAACAATTTATCTTTATATATATATATATATCTTTATATATATATATATATATATATATATATATATATATATATATATATATATATATATATATATATATATATATATATATATATATATATATATATATATATATTAATGCATGTTTCATTAAATAATATAGACAAGTTTTGTCTATTTATTTTAAGTAAGTTCCTTTCATATTGTCGGATAAGCTTAATCACATTATCGTTGAAAGACAAAAGGAAAACACCATATTGATACATGTTTAAATCTAATCTAAGCTTTCGGCTTACACAAGCCATTATCAAAGATGTCAATTTCAATAAATTAAACAACAACGGGTGAAACAACAATGATAGTCCGCCTTTGCTGCATGAAAAATTTCTAAGTAACGACAAACTCGTATATAGGAGACGCGGAAGCGAAAATCACTTTGCAGCTCGTGACGTCACACATGACCACGCGAGAGTGAAAAAACGAGAAGTATTAAGTATGGGAAGCCGTTGGTATAAACCAATGTCTTCTGTGATAAATTATAGGCATTTAAGAATATTTGCGGAGATTTCATAGTTTATTTTGTTCAGGTTAGGTTTCAACTGTTTTATGTATAAAGCTTCAAGAATTTTTAATTTTTGTTTATTGTCTTCATGTGTTGTCAACAAGGATTTTCCGGAATTGTGTATGCAGGCATATATGTTGTTAATATGTTGTTGACAACACAACTATTTGCCCACAGCTGGGACACTGACAGTGATTACCTCACTGGGTCAGCATGGGCCTCGAAACAACAGCAGTTAAGAGGTGGTTTCACGCGGCCCGAAACTTACAATCTTCCGCACGGAGGCCATGATGTAGCTTATCGTCATTTATTCAACGCATAAAAAATTCATTCCTAAAAGAAATTCTCACCCATCAAATTTATTTCAGTTGATGTCCTGTATTATAATGATGACTAGCAGTAGAGCCCGGCATTGCCCGGGGATGTAACAGTAAGAGATAGATCAAGTATCCACCATCATAAAGATTGAAAAATAAAATTGACAAAGATTATTGTTTAAGATTGAAGGACACGCATGTCTTAATTAGTTTTTGTTTTGTTTTTTGTTTTTATGAATTGGTCAAACCCAAACTCAAACAAAAACATTGTTTTCAATCGTTATGAGTCTACCGACTGAATAGAATTTTATTATAAACAATTGTCTTATAAATGGAATTAAAGCATTCTGAATGTAAAAATAAAGAAAAAAGTGTGCAAGACAATAAGAAACTCTAACTGCCAAAAAAAGTGAAGTTTT